TTAGGGAGAGGAGAAGGAAAAGGAGGAGAAGCAGGAGGAGGAAGAGGAGGAGGGAGAGGAGCAGGATGAGGAATAGGAGGAGAGGGAGAAGGAGGAGGATGAGGAGGAGGATGAGGAGGAGGGAGAGAAGTGGGAGGAGGAGGATGCATATAATTTGCCGAGGGGGGATGAGGATCGAGCAATGGAGGTTTAGATTCGGAAGTTTATTCAGCTTCCCGCCAGCTATTGCCGTCAAGTTTCAGTTCTGGGCTGAATCGGTTGTTGTCTTCTGTTGCCATCGGCATTCTTATCTCTTCATCAGACGCACTTTCATACGAGCTCAGGTCTTCACAACAATGCCATGTCGAGAGGGTCATCGAGAGCTACCTTATCTTCGACGACCGCTTCCATTCGGCACTTGCAAATCGCATAAAGCCTCCTTCAGATTGACACATTCACCCGATTCATGGCGGATGCTTTGTTGCGCATGTCATCAGCCTAACACACACACACACACACGCACACACGTAGCACAGGCAATCTAAAGGATACTTCGACAGACCATCCAATCTCAGCCGATTTGCGCCGATTCCTTTTCGTCTTTCCTCCTTTCCTCCGACTATGAATGCGCGGAAAGAAAGATCTGGACAGTCTTGCTGATCCGGTTTGAAGATGAGACTTTTAGAAGCCAGAGTTCCGGCTGTGATGATGTCTGTCAGCTGACACGCCAACAAACGCTTGGTAAGTTTGCACCCGAAACGAGGGCAGATGTCTCCTCGCTTGTGTCAAGCCACACGATCGTGTGAAAAGCCGTCCTCTTCTGATGAGATCAACCCGCGAGTCTCATCTTCACGCACTCTTGCACGAAATGCAAGTGAATTGTGAAAGTGTCTGACCTTTCTTGACATGCACATCTGCCCCGTGACCCAAAGGCGCTCGTGTCCGTCCGGCCGAGTGGATAATCGGTCGCGATTGCTCGCCGATCCGGCCTGGTTCGAGTCCCGCTGGGCCTGTCGACAGGACCGAGGCGAGCCAAAAAGTGCAGTCGACTTTAGTCGCGATAAGAACTCCTTTTGGGCAGGCAAAGCGATGCAATATGAGATGTATTCACCCTTTAGAATTTTCACACAATCATATGAATAGAGCTGACGTTTCCTTTCAATTTTACATAGCCTTGTTTTCCCAAAAGTTGATCTCATATTTGGGAAGGCAAGGCAATGTGAAATTGAATGGAAACGTCAGCTCTATTCATATGATTGTGGGAAAATTCTACTACCAGTCCTTCATCAACTTAGACGAAATAGGCTGAATACATCTCATACTACTGATTTACTGATAGTCACGAAAACAATATTTTATTCGAAAAATAAAGTAGATTCTCAATATGAGATTTATTCACCCAATTTCGTTTAAGGAGGAAAAACATCTTTTGGGAAAGCAAGACAATCTGAAATTGAATAGAGTCATCAGCTCAACTCATTTCATTGTGGGAAAATTCTACTACCAGTCCTTCATC